AAGAATTTTACTGAATTTATATATATATGGGGGTGGCAACTTCAGTGATTCCAAAATCCGTAACCCGGCTGCACGAACGCAGGCACTTCGTCCCCCAATCAATTTCACCCCCCTGAAGCTGACATGTGCACACACCTACGTATGTTCCGAGTAGCCCTTTCATTCACAACATGCTGTAGTCTAGGTAACCTTAGATTTTCAATCCCCCAGCCAATTTCCTGGCTACAGTCCAGGCAGTCGGGGTTCGATTGTTAGTATGGGTAGAAATTTTATACCCCCCCACATGGCTCTGGTTACTGGAGTCTCTTATTTCAACCTTAAAGCGGCGAAAAGTGAAGCCAACCAGCTATCTCCGTCTAGGGCCGAGGTTAAAGCAAATGGAGCTGAAATTCTACTGCCCTGTACGAACTGACTCTGTCTTTTTGAGCCATGGCTACAAATGAACATTTTGCATGCACCCTACACGTAACCATTGAGGCGTGTACAGGCGGTAGTTGCATCCCCAAGAGGGCTCACGTAGCCTTATCTTTACTTCGGAATCTACACGACTCAGTTAAGTTTAAAACATTAATTTTAACCGTTTAAAGTTCCTGATGCCGATCGCAGTGACGGCGATGTCTAAAGCTTCAACAGTCTTTGCCCGCTCAAACACTCGGATCGTGTGTTCGAATACCACTTGAGGCATGGATGTCTGTGTGCGTTTACTCTGTGTTTGTGCTGTCCTGTGTGCAGGTAGCAGCCTTGCGACGGTCTGATCTCCCATCAGAGGAGTCCTACAGACTGTGTAAAGGAACAAGAAACTGAAAAGCGGCCAATATCAACAAAGGGCTGCAAGACCATTGATAAATAAGAATTCCGATAAATTTGGTATCGACAAATACTTCTGTTAAAATTATTGATTTTTAGGCATTATCCGTCTTCCTGCTTTTTATCTAGAAACAAAGTTTCGGAGACTGGACTCTTGGTTTGAAGATACGCACAAGCTCTATCGATTAGGACCAACTGAGTATAGACTATTACCTGAAGACGAATAGTCCCTTCTTGGAAACGTTCTTAAATAAAACAAGAAGTTCTGGGAACAGCTAATCGCCTACTTTCCTTTAATACGACGAGGACCGCACGGAAAACGACACTTCCAAATATTCTTTGTGGCAGCAGGAGCTTTTTTCCCGAGATGTTGCCTAGCAACGATAAGGAGAAACACAGATCAACAGACACATGCCTCCAGCATTTCTTCTACTGTTACGTGTATTCGTTGCGGCTGGTACAGGTTTAGTGTGCCGTTGCCTATCAATGAAAGGCGGAATACAATTTACCTAGCCTCTGCCTAGCAACGGTAAGAGCGATACGCACAGAATGATGGGAAGGATGTATGAAGTTACCCGTTGAGATGAGCTCAGGTGCCAGGATTGGTTCAGGCATTCAAAATTTTGTAGGAGGGGGATTCACGGACACGCAGACAGCAAGGAGATCACATAAGCTTACTTTTATTTTTTAAGGAAGAGGGAAGTAGACTAAAAAGGGCGAGGGATAATGCCCAAAATGTCACTTGCTCACCCTGATTCATCGCTCGCGGATTTTATTCCAGAATCCTGGTATGTAACACGATTATGGAGACGAGGAATGCGTATAGGCTATTGATGAGAAAGCCAGAAGGAAAGTGAGCTCTAGGAATACCAAGATATAGGTGGGTTGACAATGTTAAAACGGATCTTAGAAAAATAGGATGTGATAGTATGAACTGGATTGATCTGGCTCAGATAGGGACAAGTGGAGGGCTCTTGTTATCACGGTAATGAACCTCCGGGTTCCATAAAATGCTGGGAAGTTCTTGAGTAGCTGCAGAATGGACGGCTTCTCAAGAAGAGCTCAGTTCCGTAAAGTTAGGTAGTTCAGTTAGTTTCCAGATTGTAATAATGTTTTTGATAAAATGAAAGAGACTCCAGCTTCTATATAATACGAAAAGCAAAATGGCCAACGAGGTAACAAGTGAAATAAAACTGGGAGATCACGAAGAAGGCAGCAGGACGTTTTACCGAAATAAATGTGAAAATCATAACTTAAAACGGAGTGAAAATAATTAGATTATGAACCTGTTGCGGTCAACCCTTGATCCCGGCACTGTAGGTTCAGATCTTAAGGAGAGAAATCGAGACGATTATTTCATACTGCCAGCAAAAGAAAGAAGAAGAAGAAGACAATTTAAATTGGCTCACGTGAACAGCTGTCAAGTTGCTAAATTGGTGTCATATCTCTACCTCAACTACTATTAGCAGGAGACGGTAAAAAGAACTTTAGTTGGACGAACCCTTTCACTGTATAAAATTGGACCGCTTACAGGTCATGTTTCAGCACCTGCCGGTTACTTTGCTGCCCTGCAATTCCGTAATTATAGCTTCAAAGCACAGTGAAGCGGAGAATGTAGGACCCACACACGTGAGAAACCTGCATGAGATAATAATCTAAGGGCAAACGCTCCTAGTTTCACTTCTATGCCCACTGTGAGGCCGTATTTTGCTCTGAAATTGTCTAATCGAATCTGCATGACTTACATATGCGTGCAGAGAAATAGGGGGCACTCAAGTGTGGCTCAGCCGAGTGCTTATTCCAATCTTTGAAAGTTTCCCCTTTGGTTGGAGTTTCATCCACCGTTCGTGCATACGCGTTATTCTGTTGCGGGACTAAAGCTGACAGCCGGGTAACCAATAAGTACAATTACTAACAAAAACCCGTATTTTAGTCACGTGGCACTGGTGTTATAATTGTGAGGTTGTTGGATTTGACTGGAAGAGACGCGACGAATGACAACAGGCGAGGACCAGCCAAGCAAGTCTGATTGCTGGCGACAAGAGATGAGGGTCGCGGTAAGTGGCCAGGACCCAACTAAACTTCATAGAGCTGAGGCCTTCTTGAGAAGCCGCCAATTGTGCAGTCACTCAAGAACTTCATAGCATTCTATGAACCCCGAATGTTCATTACCGCGTGCACAAGATCCCTCCACTGGTCTCTGTCCTGATCCAGATCAACCCAGTCAATACCGCCCCACCCTATCTCTCTAAGATTCATTTTAATATTATCCGGCCAACTACGTTTTGGTCTTCCTAATGGTCTCGTTCCTTCTGGATTTTTTCCATCAATATCCTAAATGGACTCCACTTTTCCCCCACGTTCACGCTACGTGTCGTGCCCATCTCGTCCTCCTTGACTTCATCACTTGGCGAAGAGTCCAAATTATTAAATTTCTCATTATGCAGTTTTCTCCAACCTCCCGTCACTTCATCTCTCTTCCGCCTAAATATTTTCTTCAGAGCCCTCTTCTCGAACACCCTCAGTCTGTGTTCCTCCCTTAATGCAAGAGACCGAGTTTCACACCAATATTTTGAGGAATTTGGTAGAGAGATACAAACAGCAAGGCGGGAGCTCGAAACGAACTGGTGAATACGACGCCGTAGCAGGACATGGTGGCCCTGAGTGAGGCCCTGTACCGCCAGAGAAGCCACAAATGTTTAAGGCCGGGAGAACATATGGAAACACAGTCACAAGGGACAGAGCGCCGTAGGAAATGGTTGCCGGTGTGGGGCGACTCCTGACGGGGATACCTCAGTAAGTCCTGCCTGGGAGGAGGTCGATCAGGACCCGAGAAACGATCAGCAAATTGTATTGTTTAATTTACTTCATTACGCATATATACTGAAGTTTTATTTCTAATTATCGTATCAGATATAAGAAATACTTGGAAAGAAATGAGGTGATTAGCTCTTCCAGGACCTTCTTATTCAGTTGTCACGTCACAGTACCTCTTCTTGAAGTCATTTTTTCTTATGGTGGAGGCTTGTCATCGAACTGAACTTACGTCATAACCGATGTTCGAATATTTCTCCCTCTTCGTGAATTCATGACTCACAGCGACGTCTAAGTGCGTCCCTAACGGACGCGTTCTTCTAGGCACATTCCTGATGCCTTCAGTAGCCACCTCAATGCGATTATTTATAAAGTCGCGGCCTCAAATTTCTGTGGCATAATCTTTTATTTCAAGAGTACAGATGATTTCTGCACAGAGCACTTTTATTTAGTACTGCCGCAGATGCAGAAGAATTCTGACGGGTGCTACTTTATGGGTTACCACATGCGATATCTGACATATCGCTTCCACAAGAAACACGTTCTCGCGGCATGAGACTGTCTCTTCCTCTCAGAATACGATGCACAGTTTCGGAAACGCGTCGGAAGGTTCTCTTCAGTCCGGGTATAGATGCTGGTATTTCGTCGATGCAGCGAGAGAACTTCCGTCCCAAAAACCATACATGAAATGCATATCAGCAACTCCTCATTAGTAAATCTAAACTTTTTTAGGGTCCAGTCAAATAATCATAGAAGTAAAAAGCTACATCGCCATAGACATACCGCAACTCCGAAACGGAGACATGTCTGAGGAAAAATTCTTGATATTTTCAACCCCGTTTAACTTCGCCAGCAATCTCATTAAATATTGGACTAGATCTTCAAATCGTTTTGTAGACAGATTTCTGTTCGTTTCCCCAATGGTTGCCTTGTGCCCCTTCATCACAACAATTTCCCTTGAACTCTTCAACTTCACAGGAAACAAATGAAGTACTGATCGTTGTGGTTGAGAGGTTGGCAACTCTGCTTTGTACTGAGGAGTGGCAACCGTGACTCTGCCTTAGTATATGATCTCTTCTTTACAAATCCTTTCCACTCCCACGTTCACAACAATATATGGCGCAACAATACGTAACGGTGCATTTGGATGTGTCGTTAAATTATCCAAAAATCAAACAACTAGCCAGGAATAATAGTATCTTTCACACTTAGAAACAAATTCCAATATACTTTCACTGTTTTCTATTACGTTCAGTGTTCTCTTTCAATTTCATCCCATTAGCGTCTCTTGTTGCGAAGTGCAGAGTCTGCGCGGGTGGGTGCGCAGACAGCGCAATTCGCTACACAGTATAATCTCTCTTATTTTTTTTTCATTTCAGGTAACTTCACAAAGAAGACGCAGCCACAGCGATGAGCAGATCAGCAGAAATGAATTCATGTAATTCTATGGCAGGCAGTGTTGCCATTGGCTTCAATGTTACTTTGGATGTGCATTGTACTGTTACTGCTCTCGAAATCCGACAGCCTACGTATCCTGTGATGTGATACAAGTGTGTGGGTGAATATAAAGAAGAGAAAGATACTGTGATAAAAATGGGAATGGAGGATTATAGTCCCTTTGGAATGTGGATGTGTGTGATTTTCATGTGAATCACAAATTGATGATTCCTGTGTAGGATTCGTTGACGGGAACACTTTGCAGCTGCCTCGTATCCCGCACAGAGGGCTATCTCTTGAACTGTGACCAATGATTTCAATGCTGTGAAAGAAAGTTTATGATTTTTAAAAGATGCTAAACGAATACAGACTGCAATAATTGAAATTTCCTATACTAAAATTATAAAGAGTTAGATCTCCAAATTTTGCATCCTGAAGGCGTGGTAGCCACTGCCTTCGTGTTATTGCCACCGAAACGTCGAAAAACTTTGATTCCGCAATCAATGAAATTATAAAAATATATGAAAGCAATGTGACGCATAAGAGTGTTATAATAATGAGGCCATATTGTTTGTTTTCAGTTTGGAAGGAGGAGTTATACAAAGAATGAAGACGTTTTAAAAGAGTGAACATTTCATCTCATGAAACAGAAGAAAAATTTATTGTGTGTTTTGGAGGTGATATATTAAGCTGTTAAGATTCTTTTCCCTCACATTGCAGGATCCTGCATTCACTGATTTCATCTTACGTTGCCATTATTTCCGGTGCCAAAGTGCTCGCTTGTAACTACGCATGCGCGAGGCGAGTGCTTTAACTACTGATTCAGAACTGGTTGTTCTACCTTGGTATCAAGAACTTTCATGTATGTACTTGTTTTTCCCCCTCTTTCAGTTGTTTGTGCAGTAAACAAAATGTTGGAATTTCATTGTATGTTTTATTTTACAGAGAATGTTTCTGTACACAGTACCTAGAATTTTCCGCCTTCCCTTTTTCTAATAACAAACTAGATACAATATTTAAAGGACTGATGCTGTTAAAAGTCAAAGGCATTTGAAACCGGCATCTGTAAACTATCACCTCTTCCTTTCCTCATCTGTGGTAATGAAACCTGGGAAATAAAGCCAAACAAAGGTAAGAATTCTTGAAAAGGGCTACAGTAGGTCAATATACGTGAAGAGGCATTTTCTGTAAATTACATAATCGAATTTTCATGAGAATTTTACTTGTCCAATGGAGAATATGCGAATATGCAGAGGATCAACATGAATGAGGAACCGAGGCCGATTCTGCCAGGCCTTGACAGGTCCAATTATCTTCACAACAGATTGGCAGTTTGATGATTTTATCTCATCACAGAGTTCTCTGGAAAGATAATCAATTTCTGCCCTAAAGATTTATGGTTCATTGAAAGGAAACACATATATTTATCTCTGAAATTAACTCTTCCTGGTGTCCTGTGTGGCGCATTAACTTACTGACGCAAGATCAATAAACTACATGTACACTGCCCACATGTTAACCAAATTTGACCCATTTTGTGTATCCGTTTATGCCTGAATTTGTTTTCAATATTTCCTGCTGGATTGAATTGCTCTTAACGCAGCTAAGTAGCTTACCAGTGGTACCATAAGTCCTCATTTATACTTTTAATCTTTCCGACTGCGAAAAGTTATCTGTTGGTATTATTATTAAATTTAATCGGCTTGCAGTAAGCTTGTAAATATGACAGATATACACGTGATCAATATATATATACAGAATGTCCCAGGAGGAATGGACCAAACTTCGGGAGGGTGTTCCTTATGTTAAAGTATGCCGATATAACCCAAAACACCTATGTCCAAAGTTGAACGGTTACGGAGATAATGGCCCAAGAAAAGTGTGGTCTTCTTGCGGGTCCACGCACTATACCTCAGTTTGACATTTCTCGGGCCATTATCTCCGTAACCGTTCAACTTTGGACATAGGTGTTTTGGGTTATATCGGCATACTTTAACATAAGGAACACCCTCCCGAAGTTTGGCACATTCCTCCTGGGACACCCTGTATATAACAGACACATTAAAATAAGTAACGCATTTTTCTATACATTCCCCAAGGGTTCTGATGTTTGAGTGACTATTTAAGTGGATACCAAGGACAACAGCTTGAGAACCCTTACGTTGTGTCTATTTTATCAGTACTGAGCTGTGTCGTCAGTTCTCGGACTTAGTGCACTTTTGCAAGTTTGGAGGTGGAAAACTGCAGCATAATGTCAGCTGAGATCTTTCAGGAAAAATCTAATTATCAGTGCTTCTGGACCATGCAGTGGACTTAATTCCACATTTCCAGGATATAATTTATGTTTTTAAGAAGGGATTTTGGAGCAGTATATCCAGAAACTGCGCATTTCAGGCCCACAAACACCCACTCATTGGTGCTTTTATCGGATTCTGCAGTCAGTTTCGGCAGCTAGACTGTATGTGCCTGTGCCTGCTACCCTACCATCGTGTTGTCATACGTACTTGCGCATGCCTGGCAATTTTCACCTGCATTACCTTAAATATATTCGTCAATTTTAACGAGTTTTGATGGTTCTGTGTAAAATTCGGGACCATGTTCTTTATATTGTGAAGTCTAGGAAAATGTTTCTATTATTTTGTTCAATTTGCATGTTAAATTTTTGGTTTGATGCTGTTAAATTATTCCGGTGTACGGTTTATGTCCATAAGAACTTCGGTGTATTTTAAACATTTATCTTCTTACATATCTAAGTACCATATTAATTTATGTTGTACTTTAGGTAGTGTAAAAATATTTAATGTAAGATTGCGAAGGATTGGGCTCCCATTGAGGACCCTTCTTCTTGTTTCTAGAAATTATTGCTGAATTGGGAACAATTTTGTGATATGATTTTTCGTGCTATTTTCTTAATTTTATTGTTTTCAATGTACCGATTGTTTAATATAGTTTGTATTATGACAGCGACTCTTTGTGTTGGTATGTTAATGTATATGTGCGCTATGTCGAACTTTCATTCCATCAATTGCTCCACAATCACCCTCACCTATCATCTGGGGCTGGTACAATTGGCCAGAAGTGGCCGCGGTACAAGGGATTTAGTCCCACCCCAGCAGCAATAAAAAAATACAATATTTTTAACAGGAAGTGTGTTATTGACAAAATCAGACGTAAAACACGTGTCTTTGTACATGAACCCACGTTTCGTTCCTTTTAAAATGAGTTTTTCATACGTTATTTTAACGACAAAAGAATTTGTATAAATTCCGGAAAATTAATTTCTGACATGGTTATAAAACAGTACGGCTTCGTCAAAGAAACATTACGTACGTGGGCATACAGTCTGCCAGTGCTTCATATCAGCAGGAATGTCTGATTACCAATATAATCCTTGCAACTGCTAATAACAAGTAATATTGGTTGGGAGCTGCACGTTTGAGAGAAGAACAATTATCATTTTTAAGCATTTATTTCACTGCGTATAACAAAGCGACACATAAGACCTAAACCTAAGCAGAGCCACTTGTCATCGTCACAAAATTCAGCTGAGAAGAACAAACTACCGATGACCTTCAGACCTTCAGTATACGTAGAGCGTCCGTACTGTTGAAAACTGTGTAAATTTGAGTGTATATCTACCCCAGCATATAGAGTCTGACATCAAAATTTGGCAACGGTCAGTAAAATGCATCCATGTCAATTTCAGTTGAAAAACGATATTATATCATGTAGGCAGTGCGCAGTCTGGGAGCATGTACTGCCTCGCAATGCCCACTGTCCGAGGATTCTCAAGGTCACGATGCAGAGAACACTCTTACAAGGGATGGGATACCTCACTGCACCACACCAGTAGCCCGGCGCACTTCTTGCCAAAGGAATGCGATGTGCAACTGCCCAGTGCTCACTCCAACAAAGAAGTATAACATTACATACTGAACTGAACTGAACTGTGGAAATCTAACAGTGGCCAATGATCGGGAGTCAGCCTTCTGATTTGAGCCATTTCAATCTATCGGGAAAATCGGAGAACGACTGAACTAGAAAGGATAAATAATCTATGTGATAAGTAATTTGTATTTCTTTTATGCATGTGACGTTCATTTTAGGACAACCCCGTTCATGCTGTATAAATGCTCAAGGAGTCACGCCTCCCCAAATGACACAGTTGTGCCGACTGACCCATCCAGAGATGAGAAATTGTGCCCTAGCGCTGAAGAAAATAGGACGTAAGAAATTTCAGTTTTCCAAAATTTGTGAACACGTGTGTGTCACAAACTGCGATCTAAGCACTTCCTCACGTGGTTTTAGTCTATGGGCTACCTGTGATTTGTATGTATTAAGATCTAGGATCGGGGCATGCGATAGCGTAGTTGGTTGAGGCACTATGCTATAACCCGGAAAGTCGCGGGATCGAATCCCGATGAGGTTACTCAATTTTTCATTTGACCTAATCCTTCCAGTCACACTATGGTCCTGGGGTCGACTCAGCGTCTAATAGAAATGAGTGCCAGGAATCTTCCTGCGGGTAAAAGGCTGCCCGTGCGTAAGGCTGACAACCTTACCGCCATCTATGAGCTGACTGTATAGAAAATGTTACGGCTTGTTACAAGGAGAGTTTAAAGATGTTGGCTCTTCCGAAGAATTCTGTTGAGAGTCATATTTACATTTGTAACTCTGCAGTTGCTCGGGAGATTGACTCTTTCGGACTTTTTAGGAAAGCTTACCTAACTAGAATCACATCTTCATCAAGTCTCCTAGACCATGAAGTAGAATGCCTTTCTGTCACTCCCTCCTTAAATTGTTCGTATCATCTGCTAATATTCTTGTCATCAGGCGGTTTCACACCATAATCACATATAAATGTGCATAACATGACATGCATAAAAGGATTTCTATTTAGACGTGAAATGCAAGAGAAATATAAGTGAATATTTACCGCTGTTACCGTGTTATTCATGGCCTGCACATCCTCAAGCTCCGGTCAGGGCAGGAGACAGCAGTTGTGAAGGCTAACCACACGTGTACTGAATAATTAGCTGTTGACTGCAGATATGAAATGTTCCCCCGCTTTCTAGCATGTTATGAATTGTTATACACGGTTTCTAATAGGGAACAGTGGCAAGTTCTGATGATAACGGTAATGAACAGGCATATTCCAGCATAGCGCGCCGTTTTGTGACGTACTAACGAATAACAACCTACCCCACGTTGCTTCCCAACAGGCTGTTAATTAGTCATTTATTCGTATGAGCGAAATCAACTGATTTTGCATAAAACTTTGATCCATGTTATCAGGCTCATACTTCCTGTTGTAACCAAGAGATTTATACTCGTAACTTGTGTTCCACCCTATGAAGCGGTGGACACTTGCGAAGGTGGTCTCTGTAATACCATTCGTTACCTCAAACTGGCATGATACAAATGCTCTGAGAGAACATGTCACTAGTTAAAATCGTTAGGAAGCTTACGCAATTTAGAAAGTCCTGAGGTGGAGATGGTTGCCGCAGGATTCCAAAAAAGCAGCCCGACCGGCTGATACGAGAGAGAGTAAATTCGATAACAGGTGTGGTTCACTGCGATACCCGAGTGCTGAGTAGCGAACACATGCTCATTAATATGGAATACATTCACACAATGGAAACATGGAAATTAAGTGACGAATTGTTCAACCAAGAAGCGTTACGGGTGCATATTTTAATAAAACACTCTTTGTGTGAGGAAATATTGATCCGAACAGGAAACACAAATACTACATGACAACATGCCGACGAATATTCAGTTCACATTCTGCATGAAACGATATATTATTACACCAATATATGAAATTTTAATTTTCGATATTAATAAAATTTCATAAATTATGATTCTAATTTTCAATATATATTGTAGCGTGTAGACCCATTACTAGGTAGCGACCAAGAAAACAAATAGGTTCCCAAGGCAACGAGTTCAAGCGTAACACAGGAACACTTGCAAATGGTATTTTCTGCGCGATCCTTTACCTGGATGTTATAAGAAGACAAACAGAAACGATCTCTCCCTACTGAACTTTCTTTATGCGAGAAATATACATGAAAATATGAAGTACAAGCATGTAAATATTTTGAAAATTTGTCACCACAGAACGCACACCCTTACTGAGCTGGAAAAGACAAAGATAGATGCAGTAATTGTGGAAAAGTAACGTCAGAAGAGACTCGGCTATTCCTGTTAGCAGAGAAGATCCAAAATGTCTTCCGTTCACATTTTCCTGGCATTATTAACGCCACAGTAGGGAGAGGATCTTCCCTCTCATTTCCTCTCAGAGAAAGAATTAAATAACTGCTAGATCTTATTTTTCTTGCAGTTCCGCCATGCGCACTTAAAGCTGAAATCCCACCCGAACTGAATCACGTTTACATAGGACCGTGGCCTTACTGTCACGAGAGCATTGATCGCACGATCTGGCACTGCAGTGCTTGCAGCTGGGAACAGCTGAGCTCCGCAACATTGAGGATGTTGTTTTTCCTCAGTTACTACAGCTAAATGTCAGAATATTACCTCTATTAGCTTACGACTGCTTCCATTTGCAATTAATCTGCCATCGTGCTGTCTAGCGACTGAAGCGCCAGGACGTAACCTGCAAAAGGGGAACAAAGCAGTGAGAAAGGGGGAATACAAAAAATGGTATTAGGCACTAAAAACTTTGGGCTTTCACCTTGGTTAATTATACTTGGGGCTATGCACAGTGTGAATAAGCAATATTGCCGAGATTTCGGAAGTACATGCCGCTTCCATCTTCAGGATCAAAATGTGAGTGAGTTTTTGTGTATATACATGATTGCGTTTCGACAGAAACCGGTAGAGGACAAGGAGAGGGAACAGTGGTGCCGTATAGTCTGTGCCAACAGGGCCAGTAGACCTTAACTGCAGTAAAGTGATAGTAATGTTATATCGGGGAATCGATCGGGAATATTAGTTGCCTGTGGGTTTTCGATACAATTCGGGGTCCTTAAAATGTTTCGGCTGAGTAAACTTTCTGGTTCACCCTCCATACAGACATGGTAAAGGCATGAATCCCCTCCCCACCTTCCGCTTATTCCCACTAGTTTCAGAAGCAGTATATTTTAAAATTCTCAGAGGAATTTTCACAGATATTCCTGTTCGCTGTTATTTCCGTTCTTGAGATGTTGCAATGGAGGATACAGAGGTGATGTTTCCGACGTTTCGGAGGCAATTTCTCTGTTCATCATCACAGTCAAATTGATTCAAGCGGGAAATTATCTGTGTGTGCGCGTGTGTTTGTGTGTGTGTGTGTGTATACTTATATATATTTATTTACAGAAGTTTCCACCATTCTCTGCGATCTAGTTACGAGTTATAAAGTTACAAAGTTGTAAAATTGTGTGGTTAAATAATGCCTTCAGGTAAAGCAAATGACACATATGATTGATGGCCCCGAAATTAAACTCGCCTGACAGCTGTCAATATATATTCCCCATGTTATATTTAATCTAGATCTTTCCAGATATTTCGGATATGAAACAGACAAATATGGCCCCGCCACTATATGTATATTTTATGTAAGGCGTTAAGGAATTTATTGCAATAGCTTTGTAAGAGCTGTTGAAGATCTCAGTTGGAAGAAACGCGTCAGAACAAAACATTAAAATTCAGCTTTACGAATGAAGACACGAGTATACTCTCTACACTTCATCTGCTCACAAGTTTTCTTGGAACAGCGTAAATAAAATCTGTTTATTTTTAATGTAAGTAAAGTATGAGCCATAGCAATACAAAAATATGCATTCGCAGATATATATATATATATATATATAAATCAATCACGGTAGAGCAATTCCATTTCATGCTACATCAATAATTTTTTTTATTTGTTGGCTGCTGCAAGATGTAAGCATAATGTCACAAGGACTAGTTCGCTTGAACTAACAATCTGTTTTAATTTGACACTAAGTTACTAAGCTTATATGAAGTTAAGTTCGCCCATCGGATCCCTTAGCTCTCGGGCTGCTTGGCTAGTTCGTAAGGCTTGGTCCGTACATCGACATGGGAACCGAAATTTCTCTTGTTCCCTCGCACCTGCTATGTGTAGGTCCACTGTAAACACCAATATAGACATTGCCATTATCTTGCCCATTTGGCCGGCCTTAGTACTAACAGACATACGTGCACTTAAGGACTATGCGTATTGTAACATGGAGACCCGTTGCTAAGTAATGACTCCGTTGTTAGGCAACAGATTCCTAACACGTACCAATGGAATAACTGGGAATCAGCGTTCTCTGCGCGGTTCGTATGACAGCTGCGTAACATAGCTATAGAAGTACTCTTGTGAGCGGTGTTTTCTATGTGGTCCTCTCCGACCGACCGAGTTCAGTTGAGTTAATTAGCGCAGTGCAGTGGAGCGAGTTGCATGGTCACTGAGTTTACAGGGCTGCTGCAATTATGTTTGCGGGCTGGTAGCTGAGGCAAGGGGTTAGTTCGGGAACACAGAGCAAGGCAACGTCAACCACTGGAAGCCGTCACCTGGCAATTACTAGTCAAAACACAGCAAACTGTGCGCTGTAGTGAACTGCAGAGTGCGTCAATTAGCGATACCGCTGTAATTACTTGTAGTTACGTTCTGCAATTGGTCAATAAATTCAACTGCCAATCCAACCCCCGTCTATAGTCACTCATACAAGCGAAAAAATGAGCCTTGGTATTAGATAGATGTTAGTTCCACATCCCTGTCTCTTTACCCCTTGAAGAAAGAGCCTCTTTTGTCCAGTATATAGGAGTCAGTGTTCACACCAGAACAGATCTCGGCGCTACTGAGGGGAGCAAGGTGTCTTCCCATTGGCGGAAATAATGATTACTCGGTTATTTAGCCCGTTGACTTGAGAGGGAGCTGCACGGTTTACTTACCCGCAACTCTGAATGTCTAAGTAAGAACAAACATGCGCTAGTCTCCATGTAACTGCCTTCATCATGTGACCTGAATTTAGCGTCATCAGCGCGTAAGGCAGAGGGCGGAGTTATGTTGCTACTGTAAAGTTTTCAATCCCCAAGCTGCCTCCCAGTGTCAGAACTCTTTCAGAACTATGGCAGGACGACGGACGTTTAGTAATAGGTATATAGTTGTCCTTCTGCTTAATTAATTAAGCACCACACCACAAAGATAATATGGGGAAGTGGAGGTATAGCTCCACTATTAGCAGCCTCGGAACTAGATGCAGGGGAGTGGTCAGTTTCACGCTACGGCCGTTTCACTACCTGGGTAAAGAGCCTATAGTAGCCTTTAGAGAGGAGGCTGGGCAGGCCTCAGAGCCGGTATAGACATTGTGGAATAACGAAAAATTTCTTGCTCCTATAGGGAATCGAACCGCCGTCGTCTATTCACCAGTCCGTCGTTATACCGACTGAGCTATCAAGCTCTTTATTTAATGATTTTAATGATGGTGATAATAATACTAATAATAACAATAAGCTAATGTCAACAAAAAGGAAGCTTAGGAAGATATGACGTTGGAGCCGTTACCAGGCGATAACCGGTGAAGATACATCAGACTGAGAAGACTTAGTAAGTGCTGTAATGAATTGCAGTGTGTGTGAATTAGCGATAGCGCTGTAGTTATTTGTAGTTACTCTGTAATATTTAAAAAAATCCTATTACCAATCCAAACTCCCTCTATAATTAATCAGACAAGTGACAATATATATTTACATACATCACACAAACAATTAATGTTGACTGGCATCTGTAATATCTTCAACCAGTCAACAGTAACTCGTCATATCGGTCAAGCCTATCCAATGGTCATACGACCTTCTGATTGTCTACCTCATCTGTGCCCCCCGACGAGAACTACGTAGGTGTACACGGTTTACCGTCCAAGCTTCGCACTCCTCTTCCGTGAAGGGGCTCATCTCTTGAGCTCCCCGTGAGGACAAGGAAGGGGAAAACGCGAGAAAGCACCAAAGATAGAGGAGACAGCCCTGTTCATGAAAAACAAACGAAAAACAAAAAACCCCGTTACTTGAGTCCGCAAGCGCCAAAGTTGGACCGAGATACCGCTGCTTGTCGGCGAAGTTAATGCCAACTTTAGCGGATAGATGGTCTCGCGTGGTCAGAACAATAAATCCCCACGGCCGTTAATGTTGGTTTTCTAGACCGGAGCCGCTATATCCGTCAAATAGCTCCTAATTATCCTCACGAGGCTGAGTGCACCCCGTTGCATATAGCGCCGAGAATCGAATCCGGACCTCTGGATCTGTAGCCAGGAACTCTTACCACTAGACCACAGAGGACGTGTCCTTGATGAAACAGGCGGCCTTGAACATTAGCGAATACTAGAAGAGGTAGACCGTGACAACTGTTGTGGCAGACACAAGCAGAAGTGGTCGAACCAATACTGGGAAGGGATTATGATTGTAGGAATGCTGTGGCAGGCGCGCCGCATGAAAAAGGGACCGGGTTTTAAGAAGAAGATGGTAACTTTGTTGTATAAATTGAGGCAAATAAACATGAAGAAGGAAATATTGAAGGTAAAGAACATTTCAGAGCCCGCTTTCCATTCTTCCTTCAGGACTAGGACAAATCTACCTGGAATGGTCGCTGTGAGGAGCAGATGTGGATGATGATAATGACTTTAATCATGCTGATAAATGTCTCTCAAAGTTAAGCAATAATATTTTTGGAGATTAAGTATTATTATAATTACTTTACGGCATTATCTCCTCATTCTTCTCCATTCTCCTCCTATTTCCTCCTTCACGTACACTGATATTGCTGTAGCTCTTCCTTTTTAACTTCGTTCCTCCTCATATTGTCTTCTCTCTTCATTCTCCAACCCATGAGGTGATAACACTGCATATTGCTAAAGATAAAACTAAGTTTCAAACGCATGGATGTTAGGAATATCATCCAAGTTCCCCAAATTCCACGAAATGTGTTAGGTCCCTGAAAAGGCAAGTACTTCTGGCACTTCCCAGTGCTAGCAGCAAATTCATATCGCCCGTAAATAACAGGAGTTCCACGGGAGAAAACATGAAATGTTTATGGTCTAGTGGAAGAGGAGGGCGTGAATGAAGCTATGACTTCCATTGCAGCAGTCTGCAAGAACTGCAGTCCAGGCAATGGAACATTATCATCTCGACACATTAAACATCCACAAACAGACATTACTCAAGGATAAACAGGAGAAATTCGGAGTGGTAATGCTTTTCTATAAGACACAATTTAGCCTGGTAGAAGTTCGTTGATGTTCGTTTGGAAAATCATGGCTTTTATGTCGAACTACACGGCGTAATATCCTAGAAACCAGGACACGCCATAGTCACCGTTTTAACAACCCCAAATCCAATAACTTAGCGGTTAGTATGTCCAACATACGTGCATTACTATCACCGACGTGTGTAAAATGGCAAAGAATGCGTTTGGAAAACGGATATACTGCAGCAGAGACTGCCTAACTCCCTCCCTCTCACTACATATTCCGTTTGAGTTATCGGACACGACACCATAGCTGTTCTGTTAACACGTGTTGCCACCGGCAGCTTCACTCTCCCTCACATTCGCCACATCAGCTTTCACCCGAACCGAAGTGCCGTAATGGACCGAGTGGCCGTCCTAATGGC